AAATGATAATGATATTTCCAAAAATGTAGCCTTTTATCGCTAATAGCTAATTGTACTATGTCATTGTCAAGCCCAGTTTCATGTTTCAAATAACTATTGTTAGAGTATTTTATTTCTAAATACCAAGCATAAAAAGGATATAGAAATAGTGCAGAGAGAAAAAGTAATATAAATGATGTATCTTCTTCTTTTTTTATAGTCAACCATCAAACAAATGAAGAAAGCGAAAGTTTTATTAGTGCTAGAAAAATCGTTTCATTCGTTTTTTTTTTGTAGATGACAAGAAAGCTTTTTCTTTAATATCGATTCTTTTTATAATATTCCCTGATTCTGTAAATCACATTAAAATCTACAATATTTTCTAAGCTGAATATCCAATTTTTTTCTAATTTAAAGAACAAGTTGACTAAAATTTAAAATATTCTACGTTATAAAAAATAGTTCCTTTAAATGATTATGCTATCGTCATCATCATTATCAACACCCATCTTGTTATTCGTCGTGTAAATATATCAAGCTCTCATTTCGATTATCTTGATAAGGAGTGAAGTAATATTCATTTTTTATATCATTTTCCATTATCTTTCAATCATTTTTTCCTCCGATATATGCACCCAATCGCCCTTTTAAAAATTAGGTTACAGTCAAGTTTTCATCTTGTATGTGAGCTCTACCAGAAAGAGTTGTATGTGTCTTAAAGAAATAATATTTTTCATATAAAATTATGCTTCAATTCTGACGAAAATTTCCGCCAGGATATATTTCACCCTCAATTTCATACCGACACCGTATCGGGAAATGTGCAATGTACGTACTTGAAAATATTTGAAATCAATACCAAAATTTACTTTTAATGACTTTTGCTTTCATAAAGTGTCAAGTTCTCTTCACATTTCATGACTTTTATGTCGTAGACTTTCATTTTTCATGTATACATTTAAAGTCTCGCAAATTTTTGCTTTGCTTACATGAATCAAAAAATCGATTCGACCTCGAGAGAGTGAGGAAAAGAAATGGAGATAAAGAAATATATAAAATAATAAAAAAAAAATGGTTGAACTGTGAGAAGTTTCAGCACGCAAAAATACAATATTTATTATTATAGCAAATTGCCTTTTTGTAACTAACATGAAATGATTTTGGCTTTGTTCTATATGCGGAGTGTGTTGATGATTTGAATTTTGTTTTATGACTGCTATGTAGAAACAAAATAACAAGGATTTGATATTATTTGACTATACATCATTTGGTACATTGCTATGCTAGAACTTGAAATCCTGTGATCTAATTTTATGAAAATTAAAGCAATCTTATAAAGCAGAGGCGTATCAAGGAGAGAGAGAATGAATCTGTAGAAGCTGAAGTTCGAAAAAAACATGGCAATTTAAACTTCACTCTAGCCCCTCCCGATGTAAAAGTTTTATGCCTCTGATCTTTTTCTCTGCAGTTGTTCATAAGCTACTGATCACATCTTTGTGTCCCTAGAACTATATCCTTATTAATCATGAAACTATTTAACTAATTGTCATGATATTAATTTACAAAGTTTTCGGCAACCTTAATATGTAAAGTCAAAAGAAAAACAAAAGCCGTTTAATGTCGTTCTCATTGTTTACACATCCAGCATATCGCAAAGACTCAAGCTTAGTCTAAGTTATGATAAAAAGTTTATCTATAAGATTATAAGTACAAGAATTATGTTGTCTGATCCACTGAATTAATAAATAAGGATAACCAAACGAAAAACTATAGAAAACATGTCTCCAATGCAGGCAGATGTAACTACAGGAAAATATTTTGGAGGAGAAAAGTCGTAAAATTCATATCTTGGATTTATTCGAAATATAAGGATCCGACACATATATGTATGAAATGTTCTTTAACTTATTATTTTGTTTTTGAAAACTATCTTTAGATTTTATATTAATAAGCTAACAGTTTTTATCCCTTTAATCCCAAGCCATTTTCATCATCTGTGAAATTTTCACACTAAAAATTGTTTACATCTATCCTTACACAAACTGTAGATTTTTTTTTACAGTTTATTCCAAGACTACAAAATCTTATGTTACGCTTAATTCATAATCATAATGTTTCATATCACGAACGGAGTATTTTAAGCGCTAAAGTACTGAAATGAGGAAAAAAATAAAAATGATGTATTTTGTAGTAAAAAACAATTTGGTTCGATTATCTTAGACATTAAATTGTTCCCATTTTCAAAAAATGAGCATAATTTTGATGCAAAAAGTTATCGTATGATGAAATTGATTTTAACATAAAAGCTGCAGAAGTTCCTTTGATGTAATTTACTACTTCAATCTAAAAATCCCTAAAATTCAGCTACCCTTATTTGCAGATGGTACTGCTAAAGTGCAGATGAAATTTATTTTCCCTAAAATGCAGATGAAATGCTGTTGCTTTAAAAAAAGGTATAATGCAGATGATTTTTATCGTATAAAGTGCAGATAAGATGCTGCCCAAATGTAGATCGTATAGTTTTATTAAACTAAATCATATTCGATGATTTTTTTTTCTTGATGCGTGGTAATGAATTTAAATGATCATTTGATTCTTTTCTCTCCTTATGATAGACTTAAATTTAAGGATTATTATTTTGTCTGACGACATATTTATGTATATATTGGGTCGAGTATCCTTTGTATGAGCTCATCAATTTATCTTGCAAAAATGTTACATATCGACTAATTAAATCAAAATTTCGTGTAGCAAAGTAATTTAAAGTTATAAAATTTGCAATGTTTTCAAAAATGCATTTTTGTTTTCCTGTAACTCTTTTTAATAACAAAACTAGTGTATCGGGTAGAAACCCAATGCGGATATATTCGCACCGTACAATCGAAAGTCTTGTGGAAAGACCAAGCTTAGCTCAGTATTAATTTAAAAGTATAAATCCTGACGAACCAGCTGAACTGTGCTCAGCATAAGTTTGAAAGTATAAAGCTTAACGAACATTCTTTAAAAGTTTTTTAAAAAAATTTTTCATCCAAAGTTGAATTTTATAAAAATCACAGTCAACTTTTGTTTTGAAAAATTCGTAACAAGGAAAATTTTTTGCTTTTTTTGAAGCAACGGCTGTTCCTACCTTGCCCAAAAACAATACAGCTCTTCTATAAAGCAGCACGGATCAAATGTATAAAACTAGAAGTCTCTACGAGGTTTCGTTATTAAGATTTCTTGCTGATTAACTTGCTTGCTTGCTTGTTTGCTTACAGAAAGTGTATTTTACGATTTTCTCAGCAATGCCACAACCAATTTGAAATCTGATTTTTGCAAATGATGTAAAATTTCAGGCGCAAACTTTACTTCTCGGCCTTTTTATATTCACACCGTTTTCACGTGTGAATCTATTGGTTTTGTTCAGATTGAAAAATCAGTTTTTCGCATTTTGTGAGAAAACAAAGCAAACTTGGTTATAAAAGGTCCAAAAAGAAAAGTTTGTGCCTGAAATTTTACATCATTTGCTTGTTTAAAAAACGTTTAAAGAATGTTTGGCATATTCGTCAAGCTTTAAACCTTCAAACTTATGCTGAGCGAAGCTCAGTTGACTTATCAAGCTTCATACCTTCATACTTATGGTGGGCAAATCTTGGTCTATCCATAAGACTTTTGATGGTACGGTGTGAATATAATCCGCATTGGGTTTCAACCCGATACACTAATTATAACCAATTTTTCTTCGTTTTCTCACAACATGCGAAAAACTGATTTTTTAATCTGAACAAAACCAATAGATTCACGTGAAAACGGTGTGAATATAAAAAATACATTTGTAGATGTATCAATAAAATCTGACAAAGTTATAACAAAATTCACAAAAGTTATTCGTGAGTGACGCTTAATTAAAGTGATTTTCAGACATAACTCCTTAACTTTAGGAAGTAAGTTCTATGTCAAAATGTTTTCTACAAGATAAAATAACTTTTAAATTTGTCACTTTTGTGGTTTCGGAGATATTTAAGAAACCATAGCTTCACTCTCGAATAATTTTTTTCGTCGGTGCCCCAATAATTAATATCTAACGTTAAATTATCTACATTATGACAGCATTTCATCTTTATTTTAATAAAATTATACGATCTACATTTGAGCAGCATCTTATCTGCACTTTATACGATAAAAATCATCTGCATTATACCTTTTTTAAAGCAACAGCATTTCATCTGCATTTTAGGAAAAATAAATTTCATCTGCACTTTAGCAGGTCCATCTGCATCTTAGCAGTACTATCTGCATATTAGGGTAGCTGCATTTTAGGGATTTTTAGATTGAGGTCAGAAAATTAAACTCTTATTAAATTCGTTCCTTATATCCCCTTATATAATCATGTAAAGTACATAGGTACTTAAAGTTAAAGCGCTCCTGATGCAAACGTTTACCGGTTTTAAAAACGTTTATAATTAAGTATATTTAACGGTGTTTAATTGTTCAGATTTTAATTGCCACTTCCACTGGTTTTATTTTATAATTATTTCATATAAATTTACGAGCAACGTTCCGTGTTAACTTTTCAACAGTTTTATGTACAAATGTGAAGTTTTGTGTTATGAGCGATCATAATAATGAAATTATTAATCAATAAATTTTATTTATTTCATGCAAAAAAGAAATATTATTTTAAATGAGTGTAATGATTATAAAACGGCCTTTAATTGCTCGTAATTACTAAAAAGTTTAATTTTTTTTAAACTCGCTTTTTGTCATCTTGAAACTCTTCAGTGATTCAACATGCTATTGTTACTAAGCTATACTTGGAGAAATTTTTAATTTATATTTTATCATACACAAGCACATTATCAACAATTAGCGAACGTAATGTAGAATTAAAATTGCATTGAAGCAGCAAAAAAAAATTCTGCATTTAAAAACCTATAGCTTGCAAAACTTCTATTTTAAAATGTTCTTTGTGCTACTTAGCATTTTAAAATCTGTTCTTTATATTAAATAAAAACATTTATTTGATTATCACAAAAGTGAACTCAAATTGTCAATCCACACATATACGAAATGTGGATCATGTATTGCTTTATTTTGATATGCTAAATTAGAACAGAATAGAGAGTAGAAAAAAGAAAGAAATTTGTTGGGAAAATGGAGGGTTAATTACAATGAAGGAGTTTGACCGACGTACTGCAAATTCAGCTTGTGTTGGTGGATACTGCGGGAATGGTGGAATCTCCAGACATGGTGGTGCAATATGACTAGGAATCTCATTCCGACCACCGAGTCGTTGACGTCGAAGTTTGTTACGCGCAATGCGCTGTTTACTTCTTAACATAAGCGCTGCTTGCATTTTGTTGCTGTTTTTTTTATTCACACGTACAATGAAATCTTAAGATTATTAATATTATCACACTTTTTTGACGTTTAGCTTTAGTTTTTTTTTTGTCTACAAAAATCCATTAGTTTTTCACATTTTTGTTCATTTTCATTTACATTCAAAAACGGTAAAGGAGATAAGAACATAAGATATATATGCACTATAATATGCAAAATTTAAATGTTTCCTTTTCTTCATTGCTAATTTGTTATCACAAAAATTTCTGTAATCCTTTTTCTGTTAACATGTTTTTCTTTTAGCTAATGTTTGTTATGGTCCCTCACGTGATTACTTAATAATTTAATTTTATTCATTTTTCATTTACATTTATCACTCTCCTTGAGTTGCTGCGCGTGATTTAAACGCTTCACTAAATAAGCAAAAGAGAGTGTTTAATTATTCTAATGAACTTCAACTCTCTGCTGCCTGTGCTGACTTGACCATTGTTGTCATTATTTTTATATTTAATGATGGTTGCTTAGGTGTGTCGTAACGTTATTTATCCATACATTGTGTCGATAGCTTTTTTCTTTCTTCTGTTTTCCATTTGTATGTATTCCACTCATTTGTATACACACTAAAACATTAATAATTCTATTCGGTTTTCGTGTATGCAAGGATTTTTCGTGGTTGATTAGTTGATTTAATAAACAAAAACACCTAAGACTTGAATATGCATGATTTTTCTCAATTATATAGTAAATTATTTTATTTTTATATACATATGATACTTTATCAAATGGTTTCTCATAAATTAGTTTTTAAATTTGATTGATTTGACTAAATGAGCTTTAATGAATTTTGAAAAGACAAAGTTCAGTGTCACGTCAAGTATGTCAGACGAAATTTTGATTCTTTTTATGGAAATGTTTGTAGTAACATGGATTTAAGGAAAAAAATAAGATTTCAATTTTTGTGGACAAAACCTTTAGCAATCCATTTAGATGAAAGAATATCATGAGAGATTTACTTTGTTTACCTCCGATTCCCTAAACAACAAAATCTCAATTTTTACATTCTACCTAAAGTCTATAGCGAAAAATTATTAAAACAACGGCTTCGAACGACAGAAATAAAGATAAATGAAGAAAATTATAAGTAAGGAATATTGAAAACAAAAGTCTCCTCGATTCTTCATATAAGGAAGCAAACCTATAAAAATCAGAAAAAGAAGCAATCATGCTATATGTTGGGTTGATATACTACCACTATAAAATTATACGATTGAGCATAAAATGAAAAGATTTGATTTGAATATCATATAATTTGCATATCTGTTCAATTTTCTGATAGATAGAAAATATTGGAAATAACTCAATTTTCGATTTCATTAATTCTTTCGTATTTTGTTGAAAAAACATCAAATGAATTTAAATTTTAAAATGAATTCTTATTGTTAACTTTTGATGTTCACCTCTTAAAGTTTTAAGCATCAAAAAATTTACTCATAACATTTACTTAAACTATTTATGATCAAAATATAGATTTATTCTTTATTGAATCATCTGAATATTCCAATCATATTTCTGCATTAAATTCTAATTTCATCACCATTGAATAAATAATACATGGAGATGATTCGCATTCAAAATCAAACAAACTATCCATTGATCAAAATTGAATCGAATCAAAATTGCATTGAATTCAATTTATGAGCACGAATAAAAAATTTCCATATCAAAAGAAGGGCAGATGATAGTGTGTACAAATGTGCTCGGAGAGAAAAATATTTTACTTGTCAGATTAGAATTTCATTGCAAATATTTTTTATTCATTATGTACATGAAATATTCATCTTCCAATTGAACTGTACACTAACACGTGGTTTAAAGTTTTATTGATTTAATTTTCTTTTTAGAGCTTTTTCTTTTGTGAACAATGAAATTGGTTACTGGAAGTTTTTTTAAATATATTATGTACATTTTAAATCAGTTATATGGACTCGACTCAAATCCGTGCAAAATCTCAGAAATATTTGTAACAAAATTGAAAAACCATTATTTGAGAAATTCATAAAAATTTCGAGACTTTTTATGATGAGAGAAAAACACGCTATTTTATTACAGGTAACTCTTTTGAAGACAAAATGCAATCAATTTAGTCAAATCTTTATTTTGAAATCACAAGTGTTCTCTATTGTTCATTTTATTAGAAGCTTTCCACAAAATTTCTAAGGCAGCATATGGTAAGCAATGAACCTTACATATACTATTGAAGGTATTGTTTAATCATACTTTATCACATATTGTACATTTTGAAAGTTTCAACAAGTTGCAAAAAGCATATATACCAAAAAAGGTTTTCATATGCAACTAGAACAAGCAAACATAAATGTAGATATTTTTGTGGTCAATATCGTTTAATTGCAAATTGGAAATAAATAGAAATGTCGGGAACAGTGTATGCGAATTTTAGTTTTTGAACAGGAAGAAATAGGAAAGTCAATTGTTTGGTTGTTTAAAAGTATCTTTTTAGCTAGTTTGAATAATATGGCAAGTTTTATAATAACATCATTATAAGAAATCGCATCATATTTGTTGTAAACTGTAAACAGACTAGTTCGAACTGTGAAACTTAATTTTAGTTCATGCAACACTGCAGTTAATTATTCTCCATTGTCATTTAATTGATATTGATTATTTTGTCCAATTTATTTTTAAAAACTTCATATTCACATATAGCAACTCTCAATTAAGCACCAAAAAGCAGGATACAGAAGAGTATTTAAATATGGTAATTGAGTTTTATTTATAAATATGAAATGAACAAGGATAAAAAATTTAAAAGCCGTGAAATTGCCAACAGGTTTTATTGACTTTTTTCTGCTCTCGCTACTTTTCATTCACATTTTATTTGATTTGTGGGATTGTTGAAAAGGAATTGTGAGCTTTCATGTTTAACAATTATGTTTTTCAGCTAATTAATTTTTCTCTGTTCGTGACCTTTTTGCTGACTACCTTAATGAAAAATTCTTTAAAAAATTTGATTTTAAAAAAAGGGGTCGTTCACTTATGACGTCCGAAATTAACGGTCATTTTTCAAAAAAGAACAATGGATTTCCTGGAATTTCTATTGTTCTTTTCTTGCTGATAAGTGAACGGCCCCATAGGTGTTTTACTTTTTGACCTGTTAAGAATCGCACAAAACAACGTTAATGACCTTGAAAATATATCTTGAAATCTATCAAGTCATTATACATTATAGCTATTTTATCAACATAGGAATGATAATTAAGTTTTACTTCAAAAGTGAAGTGATTGTTTTTTGGATTTAGAGTTGAATGAGTTTAATGACATGAGATGAAATGAATTCGATTAATGATTATGAATATGAAAATTGATATCAAAAGTACGAACAACATTAAATTTAACAAGTATATAACTGCCATTAAAATATTACCTCAATACAGGTTTGATTTTCTGGATCATAGTAATCCGTTTCTATCCATGGCTGAGTTGTTGCTGCATTTCCATTTGGCAATGTCCCGATAAAAAATTGTTGCTTTTGCTGTTCATACACATCATTTGTAATATTAACTTTAACAGTCTGTTGCTCATTGGCTGCTTCATCAGCTTCCAATTTACGATTTCGATAGACAGAACAAGCACGACCCAGTGGAAACTCTGGCAAATCATCAACAATTTTAGGTTTATGTAAATCACTTAAAGATGCCATCAACTGTTGATCTCCCTGTTGTTCTCTATTCGAACCACCAAGACTGTTGCCGGGAGACGGAAGTGGTGTCGCAGGAGTGATAATAATTCCATCGTTCAGTGGCACTTGGACTGATAATAAATTTGATTGACTTTCCTTTTGAAAATTACTTATAGCGTTATTGTTATTATTACTATGATGTTGAAGATGATGAAATGGACATAAATTCGTTCCTAGTGGCGATGCGGGTGGTGTTGATGCTTGCGAAACTAATGGAAATGATGCAGTCGCTGACTTTGTTAATTTTTTGTGCTCTACATCCAGTCTCAACTCTCGATGTCCAAATGATGGTGTGCGAGCATGTTGTTGATGATGACATGAAGACAACAGTTGATGTGAAGGTGAATGCTGTTGTGCAGATTGCTCATTAATTGGTAGTAATAGTCTGCTATGACCCGTATATCCGGCGCTTAATTTTCGTACACTACTATGCGGTGCTCTTAGATATGTTGCCGGTAATTGATGAAACTGTTTACTTTTTGTTGGCGTTGCTGCAAGATTAGTCTTTGAAGCGGCTAGTTTTTCTTTCAATGCCTTCTGTATTGCTGCTTTGTCCTTCGATGCTTGCTGTGCCTGTCGTTTGCGTGCTTGACGGCATGATGCCCCTCCTGCAGCCGCATACATTCTTTTTGTTTATAAACGCGATACACTTTTCTATACTCTTTTATTGTTTTATTTCTTTTTTTTTCGCTGAATTGCTTATGTGTATATTGACACAGACACACACGGCTGTATGTTATCTGTTGTTATGTTTTTGATCTTCGATAAATTTTGATGGCGATTTCCGTTCTATGTATGTCCTGTAAAGCTTATTTTGCCACTTGTCTGTCTAATATTCTTTTGACTTTAATTTTAGACAAATAAACACACACACAAGTCTTTGAATTTTCCTTAATAGTAGTGAGTTAGGTGTGTCCAAGTAATAATTTTCGACCCAAATGTTACTTTTGCATTATCATCGCGTTATAAATTTATCAAAAAAGAATATTTTCTTCTCCGAAGGTGTGTGTGGTTTGGAAGGAAAGAAGTAGGTGATGGTAATAGTGATAATGATAATGAATGGAAGCAGTCAGTTGTGTATGTTTGTAAAAGTTCAATAGGTGGGAATGAAACGACCTTGAGGTGGGTGTTTACAAAGCCTTTTTGATTAGTTATTTTTATGTTTTCTGTCTTAAAATTGATTTTTTTTTTCTTTTTTATAGCGTCGAAAATAATCTAAACTTAATGATTCTTATTTTTGAAAATTTTCAAATAATATTTGAAAATCAAAATGATGATTAAATTTAAACTTTTTTGAACCAATGTTCTAAAACACGAACATTTTACACATGTAAAAAAATTTAATGAACTGTTTTAGTACTTCAATAACCAAATTTTCGAGTACAAAATTTCTTTAAGGTTCTTCTCGTGCTGCACTAAATTCGTGAGTTTTTGGGGTTTTCTTCCAAAATTTTTTAATTTTTGTTTTAAAAAAATATTGAAATTTTATTAACAGAATTTTTAATCTGCTATGTTTTCCTTTTGTGTTTGCTGTTATAATTCTTTGTATAGATTTTCATAATCTTCTTTTTATTTTACCTAATTTTAACCATAATTCACTTTATATCGTGCTAACATTCATTTTTAATTTATTTACTTATACTTAATTATTCTTTAAGTTTCTATAGTTACTAATTCGTCTAAATAATTAAACAAAGAGTTGTTTTTTGGACAAAATCTATGTAGTTTCCAGAAACTTCAAATTTTGATCTTTCGGAACTAAATTTCAATTCCTTCACTTGCAAATATATTTTATATAATTTATAATATATGTTGCATTATTTTTTCTTTTATTCTAGAGTTACATAATCAATACCTTTGTTCTGTTTTTTTAAAGTAAGATTTAATATCAAAAAATTGTTAAATTAAAAATAAATCTTCAAGCTACGTTTTCCAATTATATTTTCTGAGCAGTTCTTCTGACTTAATTTTTTATATTCATTTCTTCCGTTTTCATTCAATGCTCAGTGAATAATGAGAGAAAAAGTAGCTATAAAAATTATAAGTTTATTCAAAATAGGAATAGAAAAAAAGTTTCTGCACTTTCAGCTTCTATTTCTATATCTCCTTATTATATTTTTTAAATGAATTATATGAAAGACAGTTTCATTGCAATGGAAGAAGAATGAGTGAAATTTTTCATCCGTTTTAAAATAATAAAAATGGATATATAAAAAAAGGAACTCACACGAGAGAAATTCTTTTCAATATAAATAATAATAATAATGCTAATAAAATAATGAATACAATTCTCAGTAGTGCAATATATTTTTTTTATTCTATACCCTCTTTTTAAAGCGCAACAGTAAATCCTTTAGTTTTCCTTTTTTAAAACGATAGTATTACATAAATCACAAGTTCAGACACACATATATGCACTACAAGCTTTCCTACAATGTCAATAGTTATTTATTTTAAAATAGTTATAAATAGTCAGTGAAAATTTTCGTAGAGATAAAGAAAAATTATGCAATTACATTGAACAATAGTTTTGGCGATAGAAAGTTCAATGGCGTGACGTTGACAAAGAGTTAGTCGATTAGTCATCAATGGTCAATTGACTTTCTATTTATTTATGCATGTATATAATGTATTTAGATGCAAGGTTAAATATTTCGTCACGGAAACTATAAAAAATGTGAAAAATTCAGTGCCAAGTAGCCTATAGTCACTTGACAATAGATTCATGAAAGTAAACAAATATATAGTAGAAAATTACTTTGAGCACACACGACAAAAAAGAATAGGACTGAATTCAGGTTGACACGCAACAAAAAAACTTTAACAATTTGAGTGTCAATGTGTTTATTCCACTTTACTTATTATTATGTATTATCCTCTTTCCTTTTTCCACTTACTGCTTCTCTTTAGGCATTTAATAGTGAGAAGAAGCACAATTTTTAATTCTTTACTTTAGCTTTTGTCGTTTTTGTTGCTGTTGCTCTTGCTGTGTGGGAAGAATTTTTTTTTCTCCTACCCTTATTTCTGTTTTTTCCACTGCCACAGCTATTATAGTCGTTTTCAAGCTCTTCAATATTTTATGTGTCAACCAGTTGCATGTATTTCGAATATAAAATGGCAAAGTGAAATGAGAAATAAAAAAGTTTCTCTTTTCATTCATTATATGCTTTATGTATACGTCTCCACTATCTCATTCCCTATATCTTCAATTTGTTCGCTTGTCCTGTTGAACTTTTTTTTTATATTCGTATTTTTTCTTTTCCTTGTTATGCTAAAAGCTTTAGAATTTTAACGGAAATTCCTTAACTTCGGTTCCTTTTTTCAAGATCTTTGTGTGATTTGTAATATTTCAACACGGCTAACCTAGATCAACTAGGTGCAATTTTTTTGCTTCAATGACTTCATTTTATACTGAGATGAAGCTTTAATTGTGCTTTTTGATTACTTTTATTCTTATTATTTTAAGTTTTAAGGATTAAACCTTATTAGATCTTCATTAAAAAACTAGAAAACTTTAACAACATAAATATCGCTTAATTCACACTTTCACTTGTAACAGAAAATCTTAAATAATGGTAAAAAGCTATAAAATATTAGACCAACAATGAATTTCTTTTGTTCAAGTTAAACAAATTTTATATTGTCAATTTTGTTTCCTTTTATGTTTTTTGAAGTTGTTTTCTTCTTTCTTGATTTATTTGTCTTGAAAAAAATAAGTTCAACAATTTTTAAATTTTATTTCCATTTCAAGTTTAAGACAAAGGCAATTTTTTTACATTTGTCATTACATGGAGTAATAATAACTTGTCATAAACATTCACATTTATTTTTTAATTTAATATTGCTCTGTTAGTGACTAATAAGTATAACTGATTTTATTTCCAATATCAACAATTATAATCATAATCCTGTTTGAGGCGAATAATAACAACTTTTTTATTTATATAAATATTTTTTGCTTAACTTATTCTTCTCTTTTTTTCGTTTTTTAATTAAAATGCGAGAATGAGATTATTTTTTATTTTTTCAAATCCACTTTCAACTTAACCTTTCGTTTTCGTAAACTTTATTTCAATTTTTTATATTATTTTTGATTGCCTCTGAATGATTTTTAAGTTGAAAGTTCTTCCTTAAAAAACGAGATAATTTTTTTTATCTTTAAGATTTTAAAGATTAAAATAATATTCTATTAATAATAAAAAAACTATGAAATAATTTAATATCAAAAAGGTTCAAGAAGTATTAAAATTTTAACAAAAATTATTATTTAAAATAGAAAGTTGAAGGATAGTTACCAAACCCAAATAGTTTTCTTATAGTAGTATCTATAAAAACTTCTTGTCTGTGTCAAAAGACCTTTGAATTCATTAATAACAATGTTGTATATCAATCAACGTTTCATTGATAATCAAGACAATTACTACTTTTAGGTCGGCTGTTTATTCTATATTGTTAGCTTTTGATTATTTTCTGCTTTATACTGTCAAAGTTCTTGTTAAGTTCTTTATCCGTTTTTTTTATATTTTTAATGAATACTTATTTCTATTCAGTTTTAATATTGTATAAATATGTCTATGTCAGCAAAAATATCAAAATTATTTGTATTACATCGAACACCAAAGCCGTTAAGATTTCCTTTATTAATTTCCTAGTAAGTATATAAATATATTAACTTTAATTTACTGTTTATGTATTCTTACAATAATAAGAATAACTTCTCTGATAATTTAATCTAAATAATTATTTTCACGCTTCAATTTTTCTTCTGTTCAAGAGTTTTTTTCTTCTACCTCCTATTGTGTGAATGTTGTGCTTTCATTTTTAAATTATATATTTTTATTCTCATAAGTTTTATGTTTTCTTCTCAAAATTATAAAAAATAAAAAAATCTTTTAAATAACAAACTTAAATGATTATTTTAATTCACGTTTATTTGAAAATTTTTATTTAAGACACTTTGGGTTTCATATAAAAAAAGATTTTCATCGACTTCTTTAGATTCTGATTTTCCTCTTTTTCTTACAAGAGTGAAAATGTTAAGCAAACAAACACACACACGAGTTTATTGATTTATTTAACTGAAGTTTTTTAATTCTTCTTTTTCTTTTATTGCTGTTGATATTTATGTATTTAAATCATTTTTACTTTGTTGCTTTTGTTCTTAGCATAATATAAATATTCAACAATTTAATCATTTTAATTTACCTTTTTTTGATTACGTATACATTATTTCATTATAATAAATATACATTCATGTATTTGCGTGTGTATGTTTGTATGTTTGTGCTTCCTTGACATAAAAATAACTAATGTGGCCACATTTGTGAGTGAATGGTTTTAGTTTGTCTTGTTTAGCATAAAATGATCGAATCTGATTAAAAAGATAAAAAAGAAAATGGAAGGGAAAATGTTTTCTTTTTGGAGGGATTTTTGGATCTGTTGTGATTTTTTTTTCTAGTCTTGCTGATGGTTAGTTTTATTTATTATCGATTTTTCGTGCCGTCTTTTTTAAAATCTCTTGACGATTTTCTTTTTGACTATTGATTTTGAATTTTGCTGCAAAAATAAAAAATAATTGTTAAATGATCATGATGATGAATGTTAATGGAAATATGAATGAAATCTAAAATGTTTAAATGTTCTATAATGACTTCAAACGTTAATAAATGCCTGTCTGTTCGCAGTAATTTTGCTGATAATAGCTTTTAAAAAAATCACATTTTTCAAATCGAAGTATTTTACAAATTGAAAATGGTATATCATTAAATATGTAAAATTAAGCACATCATTTTTAAAGTAAAAAAAACGAGTCATACACTTCAGGAAGCAACATTTGGAGGAACAATTAGTACAAAAATTTCAACTCATCGTGTGAAATTTAAAACAGAAAAACCACATCAAAACTCGCTATACGTGAAATAAGGTACAAAAGAACTTTCATGTGGAATTAAAAGAACAACGATGCAAAAACAGAGAATGAAAAACATTTTAAATTAGAAAGCCAGAACTCATTCGGAAGTAACGCCATTTCTAACATTTAAATTAGTAATTGTTGGAAATGAGACCGCGATTTTCAGCGCAAAACAGAATAGATGTGTCAAGATTTCAAATAATTTTATCTCGATCTTTTTTTTTGTGAACTAAAACAAATGTTAAGGTTAATAACAAAATCAAAAAAATTCAAACATCCTACAAGTCCAACAACAAACGCCGTAATTGATTAAAGATTAAACAATAAGGATTTATGATAAATCCCACATTTTACAAAACTTCATTAAAAATGTATAAATTTGAACTGTGATAGACAAATTGTCAATTAAATTCTAGTGTTTCATTAATTCCCTTGATTGCTGTCTACAAAACTTCTCTTTCACGGAATGTTAAAGTAAAAAACTTCATTAATTTTTAAGAATATTGACAACAACAATTCATTCGATGAACGACTTAGTTAATGTGTTATAGAATTATCGTTAAAAATAAGTAAAATCGGTTTTATTGAACAACAAATGTGAGGATTAATTGATGAGAAATTTTTGTTTTAAAAAATTAATCTGGACATGTGAACCAAATCGAGCTTTTCGTACTCTTTTCAAAAATTAAAAAGATAATTAAGATTAAACATGCAAAGCATGACTTTTACATGAAATGAAAAATTCAATCACGCTTAGAGCAATGAGAAGAAGGAATTGAAGTGAGAAAAGTGAGTATTAAGGATATAAGAAAATGAGATTTTTAGATGCTGAATATGACCTCCTTATGATAGTCTCGTATTGTTTTTTTTTTCTTCCTTTTTGCTTTTTCATGTTCAATCTTAAGAAAATGTCTACTTTGTTACTATACATAATGCTGCATAATACATACAAAGAAAATAACCAACAAATCGAAGGTAAAAACTTTTTAAAATTATTTTGTTTATTTCCACGACTTTTTCGTTTTAAACTTTTAATTGAGAGCTGGTCAAAATAAAAGATTGTTCGTGTACAATATCAGCGAAGCTTCATAATTTAAAAAGCATTTAAAGTTTAATGAGTAAAAAAATGAAAATTGTGAAGTCAATTGAAACTTTGCTCAGTATGATTTTCATATTTTAACCAGTCTTGCATTAGTTCCTTTCTTTCTTTAAAATAAAGTATATTCTCGTAAAAGCTTCATAAATTTCACTCATCTATTCCTTCATTTTATGAGTATAGGAAGGGAGATTGCTTTCAACATAAAATATACATACTTGGTTCATGATAAAAAAAACTTTATAATTACCGACATAATATGAAAGCATATGAATAGCATCAAAAAGATGGAGAGTTATAAAAACTATAAGAATCTTTCATACATGTTATTCACCTGAATTGAACTTATATATCATAAAAGAATGATGCGGAATATAATCAAATGGCGTGAATAAATTTGCAACGGAAATCAAAGGTTAAGGTGTTACAAGAGATAATATGTAACTTCATCGTGATTTTGTTTCTAAATATAAGTATAACTCAAAGTTTAGTTCAAGAATGCAAAAAGTAGAAAATTAATTCAAATGTTAACAAAAATTTGATACTTCTGATTATAAATAAAATATATTAATTTAAATGTGATGTTTTTAAACACTTAAAACTTTTCTATAAATGTTTTGCGTGCATCATTTCATTAATTTATTTTTTCCCTGCATATAATATCTTTTAATCAAAATATCAATCAAAATCTAAATAAAATTGTTTTAGATCATGCAAGTCCGCAGAACCTTATAAAAATCGACCACATTTTTGCAGTCTAACAAATTTTATTAGACACAATGTACTAATCCCAAGGTCATCATTTCAAGTGTTTCTTTCTCTTTTGTTTCTTGTCGATTAAAAATCAACTATATCAACCAATTAAAATTTGCATACGAAGAAAACTGCAACAAAGGGTAAACTTTTGTGTTTCATTTCACTTCATCGTTTTATTATATTAAGTGTTGATAATTTTTAAAATAATTTTTATTATGTACATTACTTTTACAATAATAAGTTTTGATTCAAAACTTAAATAATGAAAATTAAAACACTAGTTTTTAAAAAACTTTAAATGAATTTATCAGTATTTCATCATTTTATGCACATCATTAAAAGATTCTGCACGTTTTTACGAATAATTCATATTGACGTGCTCGCCTTGTGAAACTAATTAATTCTATTATAACCATAAATATCACTTTTTACGTCATCACTATATTATCGATACACATAATAACATTGTTAAATTTCTTCTTGCTGTTCATGTCTTTTTCATTTTGATCCTCATCACGTAGTATGTGAACTTTACAGCTCATTACATTTATGATTACATTTTTCACATATTTTCTCTTCTATATATTTTCTAATATATCGATAGAACTATCACAGATCATTTTATCATTACACTATAAATCGTTAACATAATAAATTTTATTCCATTTTTTTCATTCTTTTCTTACTTTTTTTTCACCAATAATTTCTTATCTTTTTATTTTTCAGAGTTTTTTTTTTTGATGAAACGATTAAAAACCATTTTTAACATGTGTTAAGGTAGAAATTAAATCAATAAATAAAGGACATGCAACAACAACGATAGCACTTATAAATCAATGTAAATGGAAATAAGCACTTTAGCATTTTTAAGGATATGTAAACTCAACGATGGTCAATTCAATACTGTGAGTGCACGTCAAACATTTACTTGATATTTTTGTGGCGAAGGAGTAAGCAAGTTTTTCATTTGTTTTTTGTATGTTTCTAGTAAATGAAACATGCCAAAACTATAGCACCAATGCTTTTCAATAAGCGCTGTGCTAAAAAGTATGTTATATGCCAAAAGCTTTTTTTCTAAACCTTTTTGTGAATTTATCAATGCACTTAATATTTTAAATAAGTTATTGTTAATTTTTTGACTTATTTCATTTCTATGAAGTTTTTGATAACAACAAATTATTTTTGATAAAATATTTCATTGTTTTGATGATACTTAAAAACGTCAACGAATTTCACTTTCAATCTGTTCCAATGCTAAAAGCTCAAGAAAAGCTTCTTCATGAAAATATTTTGTTCGTTATTTTTATACAAGTGCAAGATTAAGATTTAATTCTTTACATGCTATTTATTAACAAATTCTCTTATTCACATTTTTATCATCTTCAATACATACAAACAATCAACAAAAAACAATTTTAATAATATTTTTTATCTTTTAAATATAATCTATTCATCTGGTTCGACTGTTGTGTTGGTTTCATCTGGTTGATCTGTTGTGGTGGTTTCATCAGGTTCAGTTTCTCCTTCAACATTATCGTCGACGGGTTCTTCTATTTCTCCTTCAAAATTTTCCTCCGCAGGTTCTTCTATTTCTCCTTCAACATTATCGTCGACGGGTTCTTCTATTTCTCCTTCAACATTTTCCTCCGCAGGTTCTTCTATTTCTCCTTCAACATTTTCGTCCGCAGATTCTTCTACTTCATCTTCTACTGGAATTTCATTAAATTCATCTTCAATTGGCTGTTCTGTATCATAGTCCTCATTAACAGTTGCAGTTTCTACTTCCGTAGTTATTTCAGGAATGACTGTCGAATCGGTTTCATTCCTTGTACTAGTTTTATTTAAACCTCTAACAGATGGATTTAATGGATCAAATGAGAAATCACTTATACTTCTGCTATCAGATGGAATTACACTTTTTTGATTAGTTAAAAGTGACATCAAAGCTTGAGCTGTACGTACACACTTAAATACAAATTTAACCATGAGAGGAACTTCGTTACTTCCCATTTGTACTGTATCAATTATTGTCTTCGAATCGGTTATCAAAACCGATGAAGTGAGTAACACAAAGATAATAACGATTTTATTTCGTAACATATTTTATCGAAATTCAAGAAGAAAATAGCAAGAAGCATCTAAAATTAATTCATTTTATACCTATTCAGTGTTTATAAAATTGATATCATCATTGCAACGTTTCCACGCATAATTGAGTGTTTTACAATAATATTTATATTATTATTATTATGTCATAATTTATGAATGTTTAATTAAACGTGCATGCTGCAAAATGTCAATTTTATATCACACTTTCATATAACTTTGATTAGTTATAAAGACTTGCACGTGACTGCTAATTTTAAATGTGATTTAAACAATTTTAAAGTTTTATAAAATCTTTCTCATACGCTTTTTTTTATGCACGCTTATTGGATCATTAATTTTCATACTATGGGATTTTTCACGAAGTTATCACTTGAAAAAAGTTTTTAATATTACATCTAAAAATTTAGTGTTCCTTTTTCTGTTCATTAAAATGCGAGAGGGTAAGATACTTTTAATTTCTCTTGGCTAATAATTCAAGAGTCTAGATATAATGTGAGATATTTGAAAAACGATAGCAAGATGATTTTCCAGTGGACTGTATTTCAATTCCAATAATAAAAAGAATTACAAAAGAAAATTCTATTTATTCACAATTTCAAATTATACGTGATCAATTTCCAATTATCAATTTCAACTAATATCAAATATATTCCAAGCCTCTTTAAATCATGATGAATTCCATTCATCACCCTGCCGTCTCGATAGAAATTTTAGAGATATAATTCACATGTCACTTAACTTCGCTTGAAAATGTCTTTACAGTAACGGATCTAATTTGACCATTTCTTCCCTTATGTAGAATAACAATTCGTCCAAGCTTCCACTTCATTGATGGTACATTCGAATCCATGATGAGAACCAAATCATTCAAATAATATTGAACCTTTTTTGTTGAATCTTTTGTTCTTATTTGAGCGTTGATCAAATCCTTATACCAAAACTTCCAAAATAACTGCTGTGCTTGTTGAATCATATCCCATCGTTTCAGTTGACCTTGTTGCAAATCTGTAAAGTCACGTTCCAAACGACTGTTCAACGGCCCTCCAATCAAGAAATGGTCAGGTGTAAGAGCCTCAAAATCATTTGGATTATCGCTTATAAATGTAATGGGTCGGGAATTCAAAACTGCTTGAATTTTACATAAAAGAGTTGAGAATTCCTCATAGGTCATTAATCGATCTGTCATAACTCTTTTTAAATGATGCTTCATTTGCTTAATTCCATTTTCCCAAAATCCTCCCATATGAGGTGCTCGAGGTGTAATAAAATGCCATTTTATATTTTTGTCATTGTAATATTCTTGAATTTGTTCTTCCAAATCTTTAGCTAATTTCTTGAATTCATTGCCTGCACCTTTAAAACATGTTGCATTGTCTGAGTAGATATTAGTTGGAAGTCCTCTGCGTGATATAAATCTATCGAATGTGCCAATGAAAGCCACTGTTGTCAGATCCGTTAATAATTCTAAATGAATTGCCTTTGTAGACATACACTTGAATAATGCGATATAGGACTTCATTGCAGTTGTATTATGAACCTTCCCAGCTTTAATTAATAAAGGTCCAGCATAATCGATAGCTACCTTTTCAAATGCATTTGATTGATTTACTCTTTCTGGAGGTAAATCTCCCATAATTTGTTTACGACACTTAGGAGGCTCGAAAACATTTGATGCACTTACTGATAATTTTATGAATCATCGCTTTTACTTACACAGGCCAATAAACTTGTCTCACAAAAAATAATGTTGAAAATTTTGTCGAATGCAAATTATCAAGATGAATCTGACGAATCAAATTATAAAAAAATTGACACTTAGGCATGATGATTTGATGCTTATTTTCATATGTTAAACTTTCACATTCACCAATGCGACCTCTTGTTCTCATAATACCACAATTATCTAGAAATGGTGACAATTGTTTGATACTAGATGATAATGAAACTTCTTTTCCTTTTGTCAACTTCTTCAATTCTTGAGGGAAAAAATGTAATTGTATAAGATGAATTACTTTGTTTTTACCTAGAAGCTCATAATCTGCATGTTGACGTTCGATTTTGATATTTGCTTTCTTCTTCCATTTATCTATTATTCTTAATAAAGATGCAAATATTTTAAATAGCTTTGTTGGATGAGAATATCTATTTTCAATATAATGAATGATGTGATTCAACGATGGATGAGTTACATGTAAAACTCGACAAAATTCCTTTTTATACTCGGAATTATCCAAATCGAAGTTTAATAATGAATGTGGCCAGCACTCTACATCTTCTTGAAGATAATCTGGACCATTCCAACACAATTCACAGTTATTCAATTCTTCTGCTGTTGCACCTCGTGAAATTAAATTTGCAGGATTACTTTTTGTACGAACATGACTAAAATTGAATTTTTCTGCTTCTACTTGAATGTCGGCTACACGATTTCCAACAAAAACTGATAACTTAGCAGGTTCTGACTTGACCCAATGAAGTGCAATTAAAGGGTCACTCTATAAATAAACATCATTTGCTGGAATTCCTAATACTGTGCTTATTCGTTTTGCAAATTTTGCTAACAATAAAATTCCACTAAGTTCTAATCTAGCCAGTGTTATTTGGTTCTGTGGTGCTACACGAGATTTTGATGTAATAATTCAACATGTAACATTTTTGTTAATATTTGTTGATCGCAAATACAACACCATACCGTATGCCTTTGTAGAAATATCACAAAATCCATGTAATTGAATATTTACAAATGATTTGTCGATCAATTTTAATTTGATTAACCAATATCAGTGATGTTTCAAATTTTTTCCATTCCTCACATAAATCATCAAGTAATGCTGACTTCCAATCAAGATGTAGTGACCACAGCTTCTTCATAAATAATTTTGCAATTAATATAATTGGACCAAGTCAACCGATTGGATCGTAAAAACTGGCAATACATGAAAGAACTGATCACATTGTTACCGACTTTTTTTCTTTGAAATTCAACTTGAATGAGAATGTATCTGAAGATATGTTCCAAATTATACCCAAAGCTTTTATTTCGCTTGATTCTTGAATCTTTTCAAGATGACTCGTAGGAATTGAAAAGAGTACTTCTTGACTATTTGAAACCCATTTAGGTAGAGACATTCTCGCCTTTTCGAATACTTCACATAATTCTTCTCGTAATTTGTTGCTCTTTTGTAAACAACAGGTCATCTACGTAAAAATTTGATCGAATCAATTCACAAGCATTTGGATATACATGCTGATAATCATCTGCTAGTTGATTTAATGCTCTCGTTGCCAAATAAGAAGCACATGATGTTCCATAAGTTACAGTATTCAAGTTGAAATGTTTGAATTTCTCATTTTGACCATCTCTCCAAATAATGCGTTGATAATTCTGATGCGATTCATTTACAAGAATTTGTCTGTACATTTTAGCAATATCAGCTTTTAATGCTATTGGTTTTGTTAAGAATTTTATGATGAGATCATAAAGTTCTGGCTGTACTGTTGGTCCAATAAATAACGTTTCATTAAGCGAGAAACCAGTTGCAGACTTGCAGGATGCATCAAAAACAACACGCAATTTTGTTGTTGTACTATCTTCCTTCACAACTCCATGATGTGGAAGATAGTAAAATGATTCAAATGGTGACGTTAAATTTTTCAATTCAGTCATAAGTCCCAATTCTTCATATTCATTTATGAACTTTTTGTATTCACGATAATACGAATCGTCCCGATTGAATCAGTTTTCTAAGCCTCTAAATCGATTAATTGCATTATTCAAGTTATTGCCAAGATTGGTGTAATTTGATTTAAATGGAAGATCAACCACATATCTTCTACTTCCGTCTCGAACTGTTGTGGCCCTAAATATCTCTTCACATGTTTTTTGATCTTCAGTCAACAGTCTGTCTTTATTTTCACATTGTTCAATCATCCAGAACTTCTCCAGTTGTTCAAGTGATGGCTGTTGTGACATTGATAATAATGTTGTCTTTAAGTTTTCATTACATTCTGCATTTCCACTAAACATCCATCCAAACTTTGTATGAATTAATAATCCATTGTAAGATTTTTGATGTCTGTCTTTCAATACAGCATCCCAAAATATCTTGCAACCAATCAACATGTCAATATCACTTGGAACGTTAAATTCTGGATCAGCCATAAAAATTATATTGGGTATTTGAAACTTCTTAGTTTCAAAATAATGAGTAGGTAACTGATCTGTAATTACAAGAAAAATATCGAGAGTTATGGTATTTTTGAAATTACCATATCTTGGATATCTTGACTTAATCGTTGCGACAGCTTCGTATTTTACATCAGTAGGAATATTATTGATTCCCTTAATTTCTCTATTAGTTTTTCTTCTGTGATGACATGTCCATTGCTACCAGAATCCATAACAGCTTTTATGACTTGCCATTTACCTTCTTTGCTTTGTTGTTTATCACTAATCTTTTGTCTGATGAACTGCTTGTTGATGGTTTTTCGAAAGCTTCTTCGTCTGATGCTTTAACTCGATGAAGTGTCGTATGATGTCTATTTCCACATGTATTGCAATTTTTTGAACTTATTCATTTCTTTGCAATATGTCCAGGTCTTAAACAATTCATACATAGTTTGAGCTTCGAAACTATTTCAAATCTTTTGTCAATGTTCTCTCTGAGAAATGATGGACAGTTACTGTTCAAGTGATTTTGTGAACAAATTGAGCATACAAGACTAACAGTTTGTTGTTTGACAAGAAAGTTTCCTATTTTGCTTATTCTCTTGTTGATATTTCGAAGATGTTGGAATTGATGATTCACTAGCCGTATATTTTACTGACTTATGTCTTCCTTCCAAAAATTTACATAACTCATGAAATGTTGGTTTATGAGTATTAATGTGCAAGTCCCATACTCTT